TGCGAAAAAATGTTACATCACGACTATACTAGCAGACACAATGAGGTCCTACGATGCATCCATTTGGGACTCTGCAAGAAACATGGTCTGAAATCATTCCTGCGCTTGCAAAGCCATTCTGTTCAGGAGGCCATCGTGAATGAGAATATAGAGATCAGAGTTGATACGGAAGTAGGAAAAGTTATAAAGATAAGTGCGGATCGACTGGATATCGTAATCAACGATAAGAAGTGACGTAAAGTAATCCGAGCACTAGTCAGGACAGGTTGACAGCAGTCAAAATCGAGAAAAAGCGAAAAATATGACCTACTCGCTAATAAGCTTGGGTCAGAGATGAAATGCAGGACCAAAATATTTCCCATGTGGTAGCTTGGGATGGGATTGTAACGATCTTCCATTAACGCTACGCGAAGGAAATCAGTATATCCGATCACGTCGAGGCATATATTTAATCGCTAGTTCTCAATAAGACGCTCGAAAGCATCTAATTCGATAATCGCTATGGATTTCACGAGGATGTAGAAACGGAAATCAGCACAACAAATCTGTGCGCGGGGTCCTCCATATTTTCTTTTTTTTAATATTGAGAGAGAATATAAAATTCAATAATTAAGGAGCGACATATTGCTATTGGAAGTAACTTAGCGTTTGTAAATCAAAAATCGCTCTATTACGTTTTATTCACTACTAATAATAATATCAATGCATTATTCAAATTAAAGCAGAGATTTTAATGTTATTTATTATTCTTTAATTTGCTACTGAAAACAGACTTTATGGAAAGACGTTAACTTGTTTTTTTGCATTTAAGCTATTTTTGGTAGTTCCTTCAGTACTCCATATGTCATATTTTTAATTTATTAAAGCATACTTTTGATTTTGATTTATAGTAATGGCAGCTTATATGAGCCATATAATCCACTGAAAAACCAATAGCCATTAAAAATGCAGCCATTGTAATAGGATCCAAATCAACTCCAAAATGCGATAAGATACCAAATATTCCAAAACTGATGCTGAATACAGAATAAACTGCACACCCAATACTTGCAACATTTGGAATGAAGATAAAGCATATCGTTGCAGTGCAGAATAATACTGCTAACGAACTCCAAACCAGTGTGCTTTCAATTGTTATCGTCTACAAATGTCCAAATTATTTGAAGCATCAAATTTATACCGTGAGAAGTAGGAACGATTATTTATTTGTTTCAAAACTACGCTGCTAACATTTTAAAATGACTACTATTATGACTGCGTACTAAGATTGTTACGATATCGTATAGTCATATCTTGAAAGTCATTATTATGAGTGGGAAAATCAAGTTTTATATTTGATCCCCCACTTCAGTATCAAATCAAGTTCTCCATTTTCATATGCAGTTATTCATCACACAACGCATACATTTAAAATCACATCTAATAAGAGCACTTTGTAAACAAAAGTATAATAAGAGATATTAATGACGCAAAAAGTTCATCTGAATTGAATTTTCATAAAATTTGATGTTTGAAAAACATATCACCTGGTCAACAAACGAAGCATGTTCACTGTATGGATAAACCCTATAATCTGAATATTTGGCTGCTATACGTCTCCAGTCCCTAACTGCTGGGATCATTTCATTATATTTGATAACCTAAATAGCACAGAAAAGTCTTTAGAGTTACTTATTATGATTCCAGAGACCGACGAACAAATATCAGTCTTTTCTTAAAACGATACTTGTGATTTACATTTGTAGCATTTGCCTTTACCGCTTGTTTGAGTAGTTTTGAAATTCTGTAGACAAATGATATAGGAAATTATTTAGTAAATAAGGGGCTAATCAGCATATCCACAGATACTTTTTAGAGTTATATGTCCTAAGATAAAATGATTATTTTAATTATGTAAAAACAACCTTATGAAAGTCAGTAGCGAAAAAAAATGCAGTAATGCATTCCGGATGATTATCATAACAAGCAGTTTCATTCATTTGTATAAATGAGCCGAGGAAAAAATATGGAGCTGATTTCAAAAATGAGGGAATCTCGGTATAAGTGAAATAATCTATCTCATTGTATGATCTACAAATAACTGTACAGTAAACAATAAAAAAGTATTTAGCAAAGAATCAAAAAAATTTGGTAAAATGAAGAATGAACTCTCAGAAAAAGTTCCCTTTGTGTACAAATAGAATTTAGTTTCGCTTGACAATTTGCTTAAGATGCAAGGTAACAAAATTAAGCTGAAAATAGTGGAAGTTGACAAACTTACAGTAAGTATTCTTCATAATGTTTGAGCCAAAAGAAAGTAGATTCATTGCCATAGCTGTCAATAGAATGTTCAAATTCCCATACTAGTGATTTAATCCCTGGAATATATATATATTACGATACCCAGGAAATGATTTTTAAAAAACTTGCATACAAAAAAATGGACTGATATCTTGCCGTTCAAACGCTCGAGATTTGACAAATTTCCAGGATTCATCACAAAAACAGTGATTGGCTGCATGGTGCGAAGAGTACTTTCTATTATATGTTGGAAATTATGAAGGTATGAATCCGGTAAAGCCATTTTATCAAGCAAGATTTTAGCTTCTAATCTTCGAATTCCCAAAAATGAGACGTAGTAATAAAATGCCATAATAATAATAATTATTACTCTGCAAGATTTTCATTAAAACAAATATCACCAATTACACTTACTAAATGTTAATTTTGGGCTAAAATCTCTTAATATTTCAAAATTACATGAAAAATAAGGATCAATCGTAATAAACTCTATTATTGTCACTTTTTGAAAATTGCTGCCGCAAAAGGACTATAAAATTATGAATTACTAAATCCTGAAAGAAAGTATTCGTTTACTAGCAAGTCAGAAAATGATTTAGTTTGACAGAAATTTCGGACAGAACAACCATGTTCTATATTGAATTAGATTCCTAAACTGAAATGTTGCTTTTCAACCAGTGAACTCACCTCGTAAACCATTGCGTTATGGCATAGGACCACGATTTAATAATCCAGACTTGGAAACTATGCATTTTTTCAACCAACTCACTACGAATCTAGAGCAAAAACTTTCGATTTCTGACATTTGTTAAATAATTATTAATTGAAATTCGCGAATCATTACTTAATACCAGATAATTTTTTTTTGTTTTTATGAAAATCAAGCAATTGAATAATTTTTGAACGCTTGGAATGAAGCCGAGAATTGATCTCAAAATGCTAGCTAACATTAGGATCAATTTTGGTCGACCACAATATTGAATGATGATTCTTTTGTTCACGGTATCCACTCAAAGCTAATACCGCGGAAAACAGCACTAACTGGTAAATATAGCAAACAAGCACAACAGAGCATGAATAAATTGAAAATGTGCAGATCGCAGGTGTCGATGAAAAGATACCAATGCCGAAAGACAAAGCGTTTGTCAATGAGCTGAAACTTTTATTAATTAGGTGAAAAAATTTTTCTATAACTTTCAAGTACCTAGCAGTAAAGATGGAATGATTCAGTCAGTGCGAAGCACAATTATACAATGACTGGTTTATATCACAACTGACTTAGCTATTTGTATATAACCAAGGCTAATTGTTTAGCTTTGGTTTTACATAACAAACTGTAATAAGTTGTAATTTATTAATGACTTCATTAAGATTGAAGTTTGACTCTGCATTATGAAAGTAAACTTTATTCACTTTGGAATATGGGGATAAGAACTACCTAATCGTAATTGAAGGTCCAGCATCTTCTAGCGTCTTGGATAATCGTTCTGGAACGGATATTTCGGTGTTCGAACGATCCCAAGCTCGCAGAATGATAAATAAATCGTCAACACCAACTGAGAGCCCCAAAAAATATGAAGCTACAACAATCGACTGATAACCTAATCCACAAGCAGATAACATTCCAGTAGAGATAAGTATTGACAGTAGCGGTATAATACTTCCAATAAATGATTCAAATGGCTTACTTCGCACGGCATTCCCTCTAAATTCAGTCGAAATGATCTGATTTGCTCTCGAAAGATTTTCAGTTGCTCACCGAAACTATACTATCTCATATTATTAGCTTTTTTAGTAATTTCAGTAAAATTTTAGAATGGATAAAGCGAAAGACTGATTTTAAATTTTTTATTTTATGCTCTGAAAAAATGCAGGAATACAAATAAAAATTTCATTATTATGTCTTTTTTAGCAAAACTGTTCGTTGATATGTGATTGAATACGGAGATCAATCACAAATTAACAATAAATAATAACATTCTTACCGAAATGAATTGATAACAACAAAAAGTATCACGGCAAAAACAGAACCAATAAGTAGCGGAGCAGTTTCTGTTCCCATCCGGCGAACTTCAGCTGAAACCAAGCTATCGCTAGTAAGAATAATCTGAAACCTTGTAAAAATGTAGCAAAAATTACAAATTTACGCTAGTGTGATTGCTAAACTCAAATGGATGAACACAAATGGAAGTAAAAGATAATTTGAAAAGTTTCAAAAGTAACCAAAAAAATGATTGGATAATGCTGTACATTCTTTTCTCCTTCGCTTTCCCGTGATATCTTTTATAAACGCTATCACTACAAGCAAATACACTTGTTTGTGTGGGAACTTATCTAATTTATCAAACTCTTTAATGGTTTTTTTAAACAAATGAACTGTACTGATAATATCAACCACATTCATAAATAACCATTTTTGTCTCAATATTGCTTTTTTCAACTAAATCTTAGATTCAAATCGGAATTGCTAAATTCACTGCAAACTTTGAACAGAAAATTCATTTAACTAACTTATCGACAAACAAACTTGTCGAATTTCCGATTCAATAATGTCTTACGTCGAACGAAATAAATTATGGGCTCTATACTTGAAACATTTTGATCTTAATGACTGTGCTAAATTTAACACAGTAACTCCGAAATATTTCTACTTCACAATTGAAAGGTATTTTTTTTACCATTTTCAATTTTTCAATTATTATTTGTCTTGATTAAGATGTATGTTGACCGATTATTTCTAAATGACTACTTTATTTAATTTTCAGTTGCTCATTGGCTAAATTATGTTTATAAGTGCATTGAAAGCTATTTGAAAATTCGCGGGAATTTTTTTTGATCAGTTTGAAATCTTTTTTTCTTAATTACTAACATTATTTTTTCTGCTTTATTATTAAACAAACAATATGAATGTCTCCGTAGCTTCTGTTTATTGTTTATTATTGTGTCTTAAAATAAAAGTATTAAATCTACAATTAAATTAGTTAAATGTAATAGTTTTCTCTAATTAAAGAAACATGATCGTCAAAAAATTATAATTGATAATATCGAAATCAAAAATTAAGAAGCAAAAACTATTGAAACTCAAAGTCATAGTTTTAAAATTATGGTGGCGACTCAATGAGTGATGAGTGATTACTTACATTAAGTAATGCAAATTCCTTTTTCTGACTAAACTTTATCACTGCTTTCTGCCATTTGTGTAAAATTGGTTGCTCAGGTGCGCTAACAAAAAGTTGGAATACTGCTGTTGTGAAAGCTCTAATAACATTGGTTCCCTCTTCAAGCGTCACGCCATAAGCATTGTTTCCTTTAAGTAGATGATATTTAGAAACAATCGCAGTATATTTTAAGATATGAAAAATGAACAGTAAATGAAAATCCCTTAAATTTTCGCATCATCCAAAGCAGCAGTCATCATTAATGTAAAATTCTAAATTTTATCTTGAAGTCAGTTTGAATTTCATTTATAGCTTAAGCTCAAAACAATGCAATATATTCTTTGGTCCAAAAAGAATTTTCATAGCAGTGAGCAAATTGTTAATGAAAGTAATGGTGTTTATTAGACTGTGCGAAAAAAAAGCAACCTTCTTTATGATATTTGATTTCTTCATTAACAAAAATTTTTTATTGACGAAATGAAATAATTTTTGTGTAAATTTGCAGCAGCGTTATCGTAATAAATTCAACAGAGCAAGCATGGTTTTTTTAACATTTTTGCTAAGAAAATTTGAATATTCATTATTTTTGTTGCCATTTACTCTAAATTTTTGTTCTTTCTTGCAATTATTTAATAAAATCTTTTGCAAAAACTTTGTAATTTATTTGAGGATAACAAATTCTAGCAAAATTTTCACATCTAAAAAATTGAGTCTATCAAGGTTATTTTCTGAAAAAAAGTGAACGTAGATAACGGTCTGGTTGTTATCGTCTAATGGAACAATACCAGAAAGAATCCACAACTTACATCATTACTGCCCATTAATTATTTATTATCATTACTATTGTCGTTATAAATTATTATCAGTTTTTGTAATTAATTATAATGATTAATTATTATTGATTACCATTATTATTATGCGATAAAGCATAGTTTTTAATAAATTGAATTAATAGCTAGTAGTGTGTGTAGAACAGTCAAAATGCAAAAAGGAAATATTATTATTATTGTATTTTATTATTATTATTCATTACTACTATAATTAGTTAATTAATTAATATTATTATTATTAATATTAGTAAATATATTCATTGACGCGAATACTTTTTCACCGCTACTGATAAAAGTCATTTTCACCAAACGTTTGAAAAAATATTTCTTGGCGACAAACGTTTCAAAATTTATCAATTCAGAAGGTAAAATTAATATTGGACCCATACTTGAACTAAGTAATTGATTACTTGTGAGAATATTTTGTTAATTGATGAGAAGTAAATATGGAATAATCCACAAGTAGTACGAAATCAAAAAACATTGTAGATACAAATAAGAGTTTTATAGAGTTATTTGTTGTCAAGTTCCTTGGTTTGCTGCGGTGGTAAACAGAAAAATTTAAGCTTTTATTTAGGGAGTTTGAATTTAAATTAAAAATTTAGCTTGGTAATCAATATTTTGATAATAATTAGAAAGTCGTCAATCGTTTAATATGTCAAAAATAAAGGAATTTAACAGAATAATTATATGGTTGAAAAAAAAACTGCAAAAATTTGAAATATAATGTCATTATAAAGAAGTGATGAACTATACTGAACGGTAAAATGAACTCACCAATAAAAATTTGTGAGCCGAACAAGTTGATGTTTGGATAAGTATGTGTCATTTCATTAGCTTGGTCGTAGAGTTGAAGAAATGCTATAAAACCGGTATTGATCTCGCAAAATGGCTCGCACAAATCATTATAGCTATATATTTGACCTTTATGTTGTACTGTTACATTGGTTTGAGCTTGTCTGACAAACTGCATTAATGCTTTGCGATATTTATTTCTCAGAAGTGATCCATGGTCATTTGCTTCAATTAGCATATACGCTGGGTCAAGAATACCATTCTGAAACACAAATTTTTGGTATGTAAGCTTGAAAAAAGCAGATCAAATTAACTAAATTCAAAAACAGATATCTAAGGAATTCATATTACGAAAAATAAGTGTAAAAACCTACTGCTAGTTAAGCTTGTTTATTAAACTTTTGGTAAAGTGTGTTTTTCGAGTGCTATCTACAGTTGATGACAGTAAGTTTCAATAGTGATATAGATATCAAGTTAACTTTAGTCATTGCCATTTTCTTATTAATTTTATCAGGAAATGATATTAATTACTTGATAATACACTTCTTTATGTATTTTTTTCTTCGGATAACTTTCAGCACGAAAATTTGAAGGATTAAACTAATAATCAAAAATTGATAAGTTACTAATTAAAATTATGGTTTGCAGACATTAATCATTAATTCAAGCTTTAAGGGTTGCGTTGTTAACTCTGATACTGAATACCAAAAGTTTTTATTGTTTTATTTTCTAGGCCACAACAAGGTAATGAGAGAAATGGTTTGCAAATGTTATAGTGGGAGTACAGGACTCCATTCAAATCAGCAAAAAAAGATAGTAAACAAATAAACTCACCTGTCTTAAAAATTCCATTGCGATGTCATGCTCAATACGACTTGGCGCGTTCTTAGGTGAGTACTGCATCCTAACATTGTTTACTTCATGAAGTCGGAAAATGCCTAAGCTCATCAAGAATGATGCTGTCAGCATTACAATAATGACCTGAACTGAGTTGTTGCCAATGAAAGTGCCCAAATTACAAAAATTTCTTGCGATTATCTTCTCCAATCCATCTGTCAAAGTCATTTTGGACTGCGTTTTGCTTATGTATCGAATAATTTGATTTCTTTTTCTTCTAATGGCAAGAGCAGAGCAAATTTTTACTGCAATATGAATTAGTGATATTGATCAACTATTTATTCTGTGAAATACAAGCTTATTATGACAATGTTTTAGGAATTACAACTTTATTATTGATATTTTGACTTTTTTTAAATCGATAAACAAAAACAAATAAGGGATTATACACATTTATTATATTAAGCATAGAAAATTTACGCCAAGCTACAAAGTATAATTATTAAACAATTACTTGATGCGATACTTTTGCAAATTCATCATATAATAGTCATTGCAGAATAAGCTAAAGTAATGGCTTTTAGTTACCGACTAATGATAACTTAGAAGCACTTACTTTGTGAAACAGAAAATGATATATGTAAATTTCATTTGTTGCGTTTGGGGAATCGAAATTTGAGTACTTCATGTGAGCTGGATGAACACTTGCAAAATATAAGTTAGAGGGAAAGACTGTATTGGTATAATTCAAAATGTAATAATTGCATTACGTGTTCTGTTTGCATTTCTTTGTAATCTTTACAAGAATAAAAAGACTGTAAATTTCATGCCACAATTATATGAAGAACAAAAAACTCATTACATTGGTACAAAGTTTTCAACTGCTTAACTCCTTTTTCCAGCTACGATTATCATGAAAAAGCTTCGATTTTATCCAAAAATATTTGGTTCTAATTAAAAATCATAAATCAGAAGCTAACATTTGATTTAACCGTTTGCGTATAAAAAAACTGAAGTTGACGTAACACTTTGAACAGTGAAAGGATGTTAATTCACATCTCTTGGCCATCTTCTTGTGCCAGCACTCATAAAAAAAGGAACCAGTAGAAACAGCGAACTCATAAAATGTATTTATTGATTTTGCTTATCTACTAGCTGAAAAATATTGATGTATTTTAGTGATTGTGCAACCTATCACAATTCTAGAAATCCAGCGATTCAGAAAATTCAATCAACATAAGACTGAGAAATTAATGTAATTCTCTTAGTTTTGTTTTTCATCCACGTGTCTTGCTTAGCAACACTATTAAGGAACAGACTGATGAAATGACCAGATGAATCCGCTATAATTAGCACAAATATTACAATCCTTTACTGAAATATTTGTTGAGTGCTCATTTTTTTCTTTTCATCAATATTGCAGCTCGACAATTTTTAAAAACTTTTCAAATTGAGCAAAAGTTATAGTGGATATCTTTGTGTTTCGGATGAGAGTTGTCAAATGAGCTACAACAAGAATACTAAGTAATAAGATAAATGACCCAAAGAAGCAAAAAATTAAAATTATACACGAATTTTTTAAGAGTGATTACGAATGAAGGACGTAAGATCAAATAATTAAAGCAAAAATTTAATGTAACTTGTGATGAAAGAGTTCTTTGTAAATACGTCATCTCTACGCAAAGTTCATAAGTCATTTATATTCAGCAAATCAGAAAGTCAGTGTAATTTATGATGAAATAGTTCTTTGGAAATACATTAGCTTTACGTAAAGTTCATTAGCTGCTTCGGTAAATTTTTTGTTTTTCATTTGAGATGCAAAAAATTAAGTCACAAAAATCCATGAAATTTTAAGGGCGAGTTTTTGATGGTTGAAAACACAAGGAAAAGAATCGATAAAGCATTTTCTTCCAGATATAAACGAAATGTAAAAACATCTGAAACGGATAATAAATTAAGTTATTAGTATACGAAATACATGCTGCATTTAGTGTTCAAGAGCCTGAAAAATTTGCTTTCATGCAAAAGTCCAAAGAAATCAAATAATGTAATTCAAAAGTAATTCTTCTGACTTTGAAAAATTTCAATTTCTCTTGCAAATATAATTTGTTATGAAATGTGAATTATTACTATCAATTACCATGAAACTTTTTAGTTTTCAAGTAATAAATTACCACTACTTGCAATGAATTATTACTCTTTACTCTTAAAAATGAATAGTTTAACAATGAATAGCTCAACAATATATATCTCTTCAAAACTGTTCCTTTTCAGTCTACGATCCAGCATCCAACTTCAATTTTATGCACTTCATCTTACCATTTATGCATTTCCAAATTTAGCTCTTCTTTTCTGTGTCGCCAGTTTTTATTCTTTACATTACTTAACTCTCTCATTTAATTTACTTTAATACGAAAAATATTGTTAAAAATAAATAATTTATAACTTATTAGTTACTGACTTGAAAAATGGCAAGAAACTGACAAGCAAATTTGAAATGAAAAAATGTGAACGAGTTTTTTTTGACTACTTCAGTAAAATAAGGTTGAGTGAAATTCATAACACAGAATATGAATGTGAGGTGCTGCTGTTATTAATTTACTATAACATTCAAATATCAACAACAAAAATATCAACAACAGCAAACTCGATTTTTCGTTCTCCTTTGTCTGAAATAACTTTTATGATTCTAATAAGCGTCTAGCAAAATGAATTTCGTTTGAAAAATAAAAATTATAATTGTTGTTAGTGCAAAATAAAACGTTATAAAATTGCAATGCAAACAAAATACCTATAGTATATTTAATAAAAATTACCATTTTATGTCAAACAATATCGTGATTTGTATTTTCATGTATGGCAACTTAATAATCTTTTTTTCATATTTAACGATTAAATGCTTCGTTTTAAAACTACATAAAACCGAAACCTCCCTACTTTTCGTGTAACTGACAATATTATTGGTATCTAATATCTACAAATGAAATTCTTGTTTTAATTACAACTTATTACTTTGAAAAATTTTAATTTTTTCTTGGAAATATAATTTAGTATGAAATGTGAATTACTACTATCAATTACCATAAAACTTTCTGGTCTTCAAGTAATAAATTACCACTACTTGCAATGAATTATTACTCTTTACTCTTAAAAATGAATAGTTTAAGTAGCTGTCAGTGATATACAAAAAACTGCCTGTAGAGATCTTTGATATTGAGAAAATGAAAAGATTACTAGAACTCAGCAATGAACACCAATTCTTCTTCATTCATGAGTGAAAATCGAAATACGGGCTCAAAATCAAAGGGTGGTTCATCATATTTTGTTATGAAAATTAATATTTATCGATTAATCATAGAAATATTGATGTCAATTAATATCAATAGACATTAAGTTGAAATTTATTGATGTTAATGAAATATGAATTAGAAAGTGAATTGAGATACTAAAAAAATTACGTTTCATTCATATTAAAGAAGTTTATGATTTAATAGCAGCTAACTCACAGTGTAACTCAGATCTCTCCAAGCGTGTATGAGTGCTATAAAGTATAAAATTGAATAATTGAAAATGAAATCTGCCGATTTTTTATCCGTTTCAATATATGCTTTCTGAACTATTCATGATTTAAGCTTAAGCTACTCTATCGTTTTCTTTGTTGCTTTCTATCAATGCTTTGATCTTCTCATTGATCAAATCAGGTTTTCAGAATTAAGACGTGATAAATCGTAACAAAAAATGCATGAAAAAAAAAAATTGTAAGTTCATCTTTTATAAAGCTATAGTCAAAAATAAACTGCAAACTTATGAAATGCTTTTTGCTCACAGAGAACAAAATTCACTTGAAAACGTGAATTTATGTAACCACTTATGCTCCGCCCGTATTAGAATTCATATTTCATGAAATGTGCAAGTTGCTGTACGACACTGAATTAATAGTGCTAAAAATTTTAGCAGTATCACTTTGATAATGCGAGTCTCTATTCTAAGTATTACTGTTACTAAATTAGTATAAGGAAGAAAGCATAAAATAAGTAATCAGTTAGAATGAATACAGCATAAATGTAGCACTTTGCAAAACTGAGCTGTAAGGATGCTGAAGTAATAATATAAAGAGATTAAAATAAGTTTTAGAAAGCATCCATAGTGTGAAAGGTAAAATTATCAATGTCAACAATAATTAAAATTGCTAATGATTCAACGTATCTGTAAATCATTTAAAGTTCATATATGGATGATGCTTACGAAGGAGCGATGCTAAACTCATATTCCTTAAATTAATGCAAGTAACTTATTCTGGTAATTTTCGACGAAACTTTGCCAGATAAAAAGAAAAAACTGAAGGGCTAAAATTCCGTAGTCTGAAAACGATAATGTTTGAAAATCACTGTATGATGCAAAGAAAGAACCAGTTTTTTCAAAATGTAGTCAAATGATTAACTGAATGGCAGAGCAAGTAAAATGAAGATCAAAGACTGTTTAATGTCCAATGGACCAACAGAATCTCGACTTCAAGAAAGCATATGTATTTATCATTATTACTTAATATAAGTAGCTGGTAATTTCTGAAATTTTTTGCTACTAAGTGCAAAAAAGTTTGAGGATTGAAAATTCATAGATGAGCAACAAGAATATTGGTTAAGTGAGAAAAAAACGGTTTTGCTTAAGATTACAAAGTTAAGCAATAATGACAAAGTCATTTTAAAAAATATCAGAACTGATAGTACAAATAATAAGATTTGTTATATTGGTATGAGATAAATCTTACTAACAATAACTATTACTGATGCTACTGTTTTTGAACAATTACTTATAATAAATGACTTTCAATTTCTGTAATTTAATCGCATAGTGTAGCCAGTGATAATAATAACTAGCAGTTTGTAAAGGCAGCTTAACTTCACATAAAATAAATAACAATATTTGACTTTTCTTGACCCTTTTTGAATTCATGGAATCATCTATCACATTTTCTGTTTGAAAAAAAAAAACTTTATTCTTTTTGAAATGCATACAATAGACAACCGTTGTTAAATGCAGTTTATGTTATTTGGTCATTTAATCTTTTTCTATTAACTTAAATAAACGGCGACACTTAATAAATTTCAAAAAAAAAAAAAAGAATTTTTCATACATATAATTAACTTGAGACAGTTTTCAGCTAAAATAGAAAAAACAAGCAAACATGTGCTGCAATAGTTTTTAGAAACCCTAAATACTGCTAAGGT